CTTTAATCTCCACCAAGAAGCTCTCAAAATGATCAACCATGGAGGAAAAATGACCCAAAATCGCGGATGAAGTGTTTTATAAACTCACTGCCCAGAATTTTTCGGAAGTACAGTTCACCCGCGCTGTTACTGTTCACGCGCATGGTCACTGTTCACCCGCGCGGTTACTGTTCGCGCGCGGTTACTGTTCACGCTGCTAAAAAAATACAGTAGCAGCCAAAGAAATTGCAGCACTTTTCTTTTTACTAAAATGATTCTAACTCCATCATACAAACTCGGAATTCGATGATTCTTGTTCCTATGAGTCACAAATAATGATATGAACATAATCCTTCAATCGAAACTCAATTCGGAGCTCGTTTGATTAGTGCGATATCTATTTCGCTCGTTAAACAATTAACTCATGTTTCATGTCAAAAACCCAATCGTGACTTGATGAAATTAGACCAAACTTTCCAGATCACTCCTATAATTCATTATTTAAATTCTGGAAATCTCGAAATAAAATTTCGATCTCTAGAACTAAAAATGGACCTTTGGATCATTACATGCTTATGCTCAAACGGCAAAAATCTTCCAAAAACTCTTCCAAAACTTATCCGAACCTCATGGGACCCCGACCAAACATGCCAACATAATTCATAACATTATTTAAACCTCTTCCAATCATCAAAATACCTCAAACAACATAAAATTACCCAAAACTCATCGAATTCAAGCTTATTTTCTAAAAACTTCCGAAATACACTTTTGATCAAAAACCCGACCAAACTACGTCCGAATGACCTGAAATTTTGCACACATATCCCAAATCACCTAATAAAGCTACATAAACTCTCGGAATTCCATTATGACTCTCGGATCAAAATCTCACCTATCAACCGAAATTCGCCAAAATACTAACTTCGCCAATTCAAGCCTAATTCTACACCGGATCTCCAAAATTACTTCCGATCACACTCCTAAGTCACAAATCATCCTCCAAAGCTAACCGAATCATCGGGATTCAAATCCGAGCCCTCTAACACATAAGTCAATGACCGGTTGACTTTTCCAAAACAAACCTTCCTTAAAGAGACTAAGTGTCTCATTTCCTACTAAAACCAATCCAAATCAACTCGTTCACACCCAACACTGATAATGAAGCATAAAGAAATAGGAAATGGGGAAAATGGGGCGGTAACTCATGAGACGACGGGTCGGTTGTCACATGCGGCATGCAGCCCGATCCATATATCTCTCACAATAACGGAAATCAAAGTAACCTCTACGGTGTGCAGCCTGATCCATGCATCGCTGTGGCTCACAACCCGATCCATATAAATAGTCGACTGTGCTCACTGGGGGTGTGCAGACTCCAGAGGGTCTCCTACAGCCCAAGCCCTATATTGCTGCAGCGTGCAGCCCGATCCATATAATGATCGTTGTGGCGTGCAACCCGATCCATATATATATATATATATATATATATATATACATTGATGCGGCGTGCAACCCGATCCATAGATATATAATCCTCACAACTAGGCCATCGGCCTCTCTCAGTCATTAACCTCACCATCAGACTCTCAGTCTATCTCAGTGATCAATCTCACTATCAGACCCTCGATCTATCTCAGTAAAACAGGGAACTACCCCAAAACAATTTCCACATTTTAAGAATATAGTGATAAAGGCAGATTTGAGCAGTAAACAGGTAAAACATGACTGAGAATATGCTTTCAAACAAATAGAGTGAGGAAAGATAGTAAAAATGCCCCTAAGGGTCTCAACAAGTCGGCACAAGGCCCCCACATGGCATACAGCCCAAAAATATAATAATGTCAAACAATTAACTATCAAATACGCATTAAAATATTCGTTCGGGATGGACTAGGTCACAATCCCCAGCGGTGCTCTACCCCACGCTCGTCATCCAGCGTGCAAGTCACCTCAAAGTAACACAACGACGTATAATCCGGAGTTTCAAACCCTCAGGACAGTATTTACAATCATTACTTACCTCGATTCGGTCCAAAATCTAGCCCGCGATGCCTCGCCCGCACGAATCGACCTCCGGATGCTCCAAATCTAGCCACAATCAGTATATAATCATTAAAATATGCTAAGGGAGCGAAGCCCACTCGAAATATCCAATTTAACATCAAAATCCCGAAATTTCTCAAACCCGGCCCCCGGGTCCACGCTTCGGAATTCGACGAAACTCACAAAATCCGACAACCCATTCAACCACGAGTCCAACCATACCAAAATTACTAAATTCCGCTAACAATTCGGCCTCCAAATATTCAAATCTTATTTTCAAATCTCTAGGTCCAAATCCCCAATTTATACCTTAAAAACATGTAATCTAGTCGGATTATTCGATGATAATTCAATATTATGGAATAGAAATAATCACAAGTGACTTACCTCAAGATTTCCCATGATTTCTTGCTCAAAAATTGCCTCAAGCCGTGTTCTTTCACCAAAAAAATGTCAAAATGAGCAAAAAAATGCAACAGCTTTAATAAACCTATTTTGGTCGCTAAAAGAGCCATTCCCATCGCTAAAAGTGACTAATATGGTCGCTAAAGGTGCGCACCAGATCCTGCTGCACCAGCAATGTTTAATTTCACTAAAAAGGCTCTAACTCCATCATACGAACTCGGAATTCGATGATTCTTGTTTCTATGAGTCACAAATAATGATATGAACATAGTCCTTCAATCGAAACTCAATTCGGAACTCGTTTGCTCAGTACGATATCCATTTCGCTCGTTAAACAATTAACTCATGATTCGCGTCAAAAACTCAATCGCGACTTGATCAAATTAGACCAAACTTTCCAGATCACTCCTATAATTCATTATTGAACTTTTGGAAGTCTCGAAATCAAATTTCGATCTCTAGAACTAAAAATGGACCTTTGAATCATTACATGCTTATGCTAAAAACGGCAAAAATCTTCCAAAAACTCTTCCAAAACTTATCCTAGCCTCATGAGACCCCGACCAAACTTGCCAACATAATTCATAACATCATTAAAACCTGTTCCAATCATCAAAACACCTCAAACAACATCAAAATACCCAAAACTCATCGAATTCAAGCCTAAGTTTCCAAAAACTTCCGAAATACACTTTCGATCAAAAACCCGACCAAACGATGTCCGAATAACCTGAAATTTTGTACACACATCATAAATGACATAACGAAGCAACAACAACTCTCGGAATTCCATTCCAACCCTTCAATCAAAATCTTACCTATCAACCGGAATTCACCAAAATACTAACTTTGCCAATTCGAGCCAAATCCTTCCACGGACTTCCAAAATGCATTCCGATCGC